TCGGCCGGGCTGGAGCCGAGCCAGGCGCCGGGGCGGAGGGGAGGCGGCTCCTGCGCCCCGCTGCCGCGGCACCGCGGAGCCCACCCGGCCGCCAGCGGCTCCCATTGTCCTCGGCCGGGGCCGGGGCGCCCCGGGCTGGGCGCGCTCTGCCGCCGGGAGCGGGGCCGGAGCAGCAGCGGGCGGTGCACAGGCCGGGCCTGCCCGGGGTGGGGGGCCCAGGCGTCCCGGAGTCGCCCCCCGGCTAATCCCGGCCCCGGCCGGCCCCGCAGCCCCAGCCCCGCTCCCGCTCCCCGCCGCGGCAGGGACCGAGCGGGGGAGGGGGAGAGCGAACAAAAGGCTGCGCCTGCCAGCCCCGCCGCGGCCGCAGGAGCAGCCCGGGGGGGGCCGGACGCGGGGGGCCGGCCCGAGCCCCCAGCCGGGCGGGCTGAGCTCGCAGGAGGCCTCTGAGCGGCTCAGCGCTGGGCAGGGGGGAGGAGAACAGAGCAGATTAGCTCCCCAGCCGGCCCTGGTATGCAGAAAATGCTGAGCTTGGAGAGTGTGTGTGTGTGTGCACACGCTATGGCTCTGCGTGTGTGTGTGTGCACACGCTATGGCGCTGTGCGCACGGTAGGGCTCTGTGTGTGTGCACGGTACAGTTCTGTGTGTGTGTACATGGTATGGCTCTGTGCACGGTAGGGCTCTGTGTGTGTGTGCATGTGCACGGTATGGTTCTGTGCGCACGGTCTGGCTGTGTGTGCGTGTGCACGCTATGGCTCTGTGCACAGTACGGCTGTGTGTGTGTGCATGCTATGGCTCTGTGTGTGTGTGTGTGTGTCTCCACGGTATGGCTCTGTGTGTGTCTCCACGGTATGGCTCTGTGTGTGTGTGTATCTCCACGGTATGGGTGCGTGTGTGCGCTATAGCTTGTATTTTATAACCTATAGAGTAATATCTACAAATGAAATAATAATATCACTAAACCAAATTCTGAAGTCACTTGGAAACGAGACGTCAGAGCGTTCCGCCTGGATAAGGTCTCAAGGGGCCGTTTCAAGCCTTGTCCAAACGCTTGATTTCACCGTTTTCCCCCCTCTCTAAACCGAATTTTGCTGGCATGGGCAGGTTCCCGTGGAACGGTTCGATTTTGACAAAGGGGCATTTTCTGACTTAAAACCGGGGTTCTGTGGACAATTTTGGACCAGGTTTGATATCCAGCTGTTTCGGTACTTCGCTGGTCCCCATCGCTGTGGTCTCTCTGCACCTTGCAGTCCTCATAACTCCCCAGTGAGGCCAGGGAGCATATTATCCCCATTTGCACATGGGGAAACTGAGGCACAGAGAGCTTAGCAGGACTGGCAAGTCTCTCTTCTGTAATGCATGTCTGACCGAGCAGGTGTTAGCTCTGGTTCTCCACCCACGGAGGATCCCAGGCTTGGAGTGGGCTACCGGGTCAAACTGGGGGTTATTAACTGTTCCACTACAAGATGGTTTGTCTAAGGAGGGTGCTTAGAGAGCCCGCGTTTACCTCTGGCTTTTTCTCTTCTCTCAGGTGCTTTCAAGCTGGGATGAGCGTCTCCCCCGCCACCTGGCACTCTGGAGCAGTTATTTAATCTCCCCAAGCCACCCATCTCCGTCCGGATTTGTGTCCCGGAGCAGGATTGGCTCCAGGCCTTTCCCCCCCTGGCACCATGGATTCCTCAGCTGCTCTGGCTTCTGCTCCTCCTTCTTCGGCTCCCTCTGGGTCCCGGAGCCCGATGTTTTCCTCGGGAGCCGACCGAGAGGAGTGGGGACCTAGGTTCAACTGTGCCCCTTCCACTTCTGCCGCAGCTTCCCAGGGGTTGGCCACATCTGGCCGGAAGAGGAAAGCCAACTTCTCCAACGACGAGACAGAGACTCTGGTCTGGAACGTGGTTCGGCACTTCAGCGCCCTCTACGGCTCCGAATCCCTCCGAGCTCACCCTGTGCGGCGGAAGCAGCTGTGGACCCAGATCCAGAGCCGGGTCAACTTCCTGGGCTACACCGAGCGCTCCATCGATGACCTCAAGCACAAGTGGCGAGACCTTCGGCTGGATGTCAAGAAGAAGATCACCTCCAAGAAGCATCCCCCTATGAACAGGGCAGGGGGGCCTCTCCACAAACCCCGCCTCACTCCCCTGGAGAAGATGGTGGCCTCTACCTTCTTACAGGCCAGCCATGATTCAGAGCCCGAGATTATCTTTGACCCCGGTGAGCTAAGCTTTGGGTTTCTCTGATAGCAGCTCTGGTGCGCATGAGCTCACAATGGTGGTAGGGTCGGGGAGGTCTGTGGGTAAAGGAGATGGAGCCAGAAGACCATTCCTCCAGGGAAAGGGGCTTTCATGAACATCTGTTTCCACCCTGTTGTCACCATCTGAACACACCAGCCTCACCTCATAGTAATGTAACAAATCCCTGGCCCTCTGGGACTTGGTTCGTGGTGAACATTTACTTATTGTGCTAGCTCAGAGAGGATGGTGAAAAAAGACCTGTCAATTTTGCCTTTTTTCTAGTCAGTTTCCCTTTTGGGTTTTCCTGCAGTAGGAGAATACTGTAAACTCTCGGTGGCAAGGGCTGCTGGGAAATATTTATACTCAAATAGCCAAACTAAAGGAAATAATTTTCCCTGGAATTTAAAAAAAAAAATGGTGGAAATATTCCTGTTGATCTTCGGTTTTGTAAAACTTTTTTTGTTTTTAAAAACGTCGAAATACTGCGTCTAGCCTGATCACATCCCTTTTACAGGTGACTTGCCGGGGGAAAAATCATGGGTTCGTGCCCCCTTTTGACTGCATGGGTATGTGTTCTTCTGAGTTAACAGTGCCACTGTGAAATAGCTCTGGAGGTGTGCAGAGTGGCTGCGCGTGCTGACACGTTATGCTCACTTGAGCTTTAGCCTATATCCTCGGCTAAGCCAGCCAACGCGAGTTCAGGGCTTTTGTGTGGGGGCAGGATTTGGGCAGCACTCGAGTTAACTCTGCAGTGACGACAAGTCCTCAGGTGTATCAAGGAGGGTTGACAAGTTTCTCCCCCCACATCCAAAAATCAAAATGGGGGGGATGGGGAGGCACAAGGGATTCTGCTTGTTTTTACATTAGAAATGTAGGTGTCCTCTGCCCTCTTTTTCCTGGGAGACTCTTTGCGCTACTGTAGAACTTGAAGGAACATGACATCAGACAAATCATGCAAGAGTCACCTGATGAAGACTCTGATTCAGCAAAGCACTGATGCACCTGTCTAACTTTTTAAACATACTTAAGGCCATCCCTGTTAATCAAAGCACTTTATCACATGTGACTTCAGTGATACTTACCCACACGTTCTTAAAGTTAAGCACGTACTTAAGTGCTTTGCTGAATTGGTGCTAAAGTTAGGCATGTGCTTAAGTACCTTGCAGAAGTGGGGCCTAATTGAGAGAGTGATTTTTTTTTCCAGAATGATTAAAACTCTTTGTTTTATTTGCTTTTTGTTACCCACTATTTAACTCAAATACATGAGACACACTTGGGAGAAAAACCTCAGGGTTAAAGACTCTCTCTCCTCCTTCAACAAAACATGGAAAGAACTCCTAGTCCAGATGTCTGGAACTGCCAATAAAGCAGGGAAGACCAGACTGGACATTCTCAATATGTTGAAGATCAAACAAACAAAACCTCAAAACCTTGATTCTTTTGTTCGTTTGTTTAAAGACCCATTTCAGGCGGCCTTTTCTACCTTATAGAGGACCAAAAATAAATAAAGGGGGCCAAATCCAATTTTCGTTTCCTTTGCTGGTCACCTCTAAGTTCAGATCAGACCACTAGCTTTTGGTGAAAGAGGGACATACAAGCACAAATTGTTAGTTTAAATATATACTGCAAAAAATCCAGGCTGTTTTGGGGCTAGACATGGCTTATATAAAAACACAATGGAAATATCCAGTTGGACTTAATAGAAAATCCTGATCTTTCTGTAGGATGTTTTTGGACCGTCGTGTAGAGCTGATCAGAGAATGAACTCCCTGCTATAGAATTTTATAGGACCATTCAGAAAACCTATAGAAAGGATCTAGTTCACTTAAGTTCTGTAGTTTGTTGGAGTAATTTTTACATGCCCCTGTGGGTTTCATCCCAATTCCAATGGCTGGGTGAAGCTAGACAAATTCAGATTGGAAATAACACATACGTTTTTAATGGCGAGAGTAATTAACTGTTGGAAGAATTGACCAAGGGTGGTGGTGGATTCTCCATCAGTGACCATTTTCAATCAAGGTTGGATGTTTTTCTCAAGGATTTGCTCTAGGAATCGTTTTGGGGCAGTTCCCTGGCCTGTGTCATGTAGGTGGTCAGACCAGATGATCACAATGGTCCCTTCTGGCCTTGGGATCTCTGAAAAGTCATATAGGATGTTTCCCTAGGGGAATCCTAGCCTGTGATACACGAAGCCTACGGAATGATCGTGTCTATCCTCTTAAGTCAATCGTCTCTTTCTCCTGCAGACTTGTTCTTCCCAGGTGCGTCCAAGCAATCGATCATGTCCTTCCAGCCTGCAGTCAGCCACCCCAGCATCTACATAGACACCAATGGGCAGCCCTCCTCTTTGCCTGACGTGGAAGGTTCCACTGTGCCCCGGCTCGCGGTCCAGAGTCCAGACCCTTCTGTGATCTGTGAATACAGCCGAGGCGAGGGGCAGAGCAGTTCAGGTAGGGGTGATGGGGAAGCTGCCGATAGCTACAGCAAAGGCCAGGCTGACTGTCCGTGGCACAGGCCTATTGCTGGTGCCTGTTAAAGGGTCAGCCAGGAATCCTGAGCATGGGGAAAATGATCACACTGTCCATGACTTGTCTGTGACGCGCTGTCTCCAGCAGGCGCTGCAGTGGGGATGCTGGAGAAGGCCAAGGAGTGTTTGTTGTTGAAAATGGTGAAATGATCGTGACTCTGAGAACCTGGGCCAAGCATATCTGTTACGTAGCCCCAGTGAAGTTGCACCAGGAATGGAGTAGGGCCCCATAGTCAAATCTCAGCCCTCCACGCACTCCCAGGGAAACTCTTTGCAAGGACGTGTCCCCACTGTCAGCGTCGAACAGCCTAGTGGTTAGCTTCAGGGCAAACACTTGTGCGTTCACAGTGCTCCAACTGTGGGTGACTATTCCAGCGCTCCTGCCCTCTAGTGTCCAGGTCTCCTAACGCAAGAACAAGGAGACGGTCAACGAAACGAAAAGGCAGCAAATTCCAAACTGATCTAAGACAATAAACATTTTTCCTGCAGCACACACGTTGCCTGTGGAACTCACTGCCACAGGATGTCGTCAAGGTCAAGAATTTAACAAGATTCCAAGAGAGATTGAGCATTTATATGGATGACCAAAATAACCAGCATTATCCAACTTAATCCTCAAAAGGATGTTGGAAGGGATGTAACAACCTCATGATTCAGGGCCCAAGACAGCCTCAAAGTATTAGGGTTTAGGAGGAGACTCCCACTGGGGGCCAGATTATCCCATATCTGCTACTGCTGGCTTTTTACACCTGCCTGTGAAGTAGCTGGTTCTGGCCTCTGTCGGGAAAGGAACGTTCCTGTTGGGTCTGACCAGCGCCCATGCAGCCCTGCCAGGGTGTGTGTTTCTGTGGCTGCTTTTAGTGATTTTTAGTCAGAAGAAGACCCTGGGGCGGTCCCAGGGATGTGGGGAGAGGGGACCGATTGGGAATCTAACGCATGGCGCCAAAGGGGGTGAAGCTGATAGACTGACCTCGTAGCTTCTCTTCTCTTTCAGCCGAATCGGGGCCGGAGCTGCGGACTCCAGAGATGTCGGCCATGTCCCCGCCTCTGAGAAACGAGTCCCTCGTCTCCTACGCCTCCATGTCGGAGGAAGAAGAGCGGGAAGGCCAGGAGGGGGACGGGTGCCCCAGCGCAGCGATGGGCCTTCAGCCTGGCCCGGAGCCCCAGGTGTCGGCAGAGGAAAGCGCGAAGGCATCCCGGCAGGCCATGCTCATCCGCCGGTGCAATTCCCAGGGCTCCATGAGCTCCCTGCCCGAGGACACGCTCAATCACGTGGACGCTCACGCAGACTGGGCCCACGAAGGGGTCTCCGACATCCCCTCCTTGGGCAGGGTGCTGGACGCCTCCCAGCCGGAAGAGGAGGAGGGCAGCCAGGGCCCTGAGGTGGGCTCCTTGCCCAGGGTACTGATGGGGCCCACGTGGGAGAAGCAGCAGGAGGAGGAGCAGCAGCAGCAGCAGGCGCGCTCCCCGCTGCATGGCGCGCTCACCGAGGAGTCCCTGCCCTCCTCTGCCTCGCCTCAGGAGGACCAGCCCCCCGCCCCGGTGCCGCCGCCGCGGGGCCTGGGCTGCTCTTGGCTGCGGGAGGGCAGGCGGGAGAGCTGGAGGACTAACATCCACCGCCTGCTGGACCTGGAGGAGCAGTGGGACCAGCTGTACCACCAGGAGTTGGCCATGTGGCAGGAGGAGCGGGCCACGCAGCGCGAGGAGCGGGCGCGGGACAGGGAGCTGCAGTTCCGCCTGCTGGGCGTCCTGACGGACATCCGGGACGAGCTGCGCTACCTGCGGCAGGAGCGGGCCAGCGCACGCCAGAGCCAGGCCCCGCCCGCCGAGGCGGGGCCCGAGGCCAGCGGGCTCTTAGACCAGCCGCCCAAAGCGGAAGTCAGCTTCCCCGGGCCGACCCTGGGCGGCGCCGGCTGGGGAGAGAGCGCCATGGCCAGCAGGAACCCCTATGGCAGCCGGGGGCGGGGGCGGCGCCGGGGCCGGCCTCGTGGCTCCGCCTCCAAACACAGACGCCTCTTCCTGACCAATAGCTAGGAGTGGCTGGGGGCTGTCAATTCCAGTGACGGACATGGGGTGTGTGGACAGCCCTCCTGGAGCCTGGGGGCAAGTGCACGGGGTGGGCACACAGCGTGCGCCTGGACATGGAAGGGCAGGGGTGAGTGTGCGGGGGGGGGGGGGGGGTGGGAGGGGGGCTGAGTGTGTGTGCTGGAGGCGTGTGTGAGGGAGAGAGAGAGAAGCATTTGGGAATATGCATGGTGTGCAAACGCATCGGTGCATGTGTGTGAGCTGGGGAATCGAGCGTGCCTGTGTAAGTTTGACAGGTGTGGGTGCAGTTTGAGCGTCTGTGCACCAGCATCTGTCCGGGGGGGGGCGGGGCATGTGAGGAGAAGTGTGTGAGCCTGTGGTGTGCATGTCCATGAGAATGGTGTGTGAATGCATGGGCTGCAGGCATGACTGCAGTTGTGTGTGTGGGGGTGAATGCACGTGGTTGTGAACTTGCAGCAGCAGATGTGTAAGCATGTGGCATGTGTACGGGAGGGCTCTGCAGGGCTAGTGTGCAGTGGGGAGTGTGTAAGGCCACAGTGGTGCGTGTCTGAGTGCAAGCAGGGAGCATATACTGCATCGTGCGTGTGCACACGTGAGTCCAGTGTGTCTGAATGAGGCAGCCGTGTGGCAGGGGGATTAGTCTAGGAATGGAGGGGTGAGTGTGAGTAGCCCTGGGAGGCTGTGATTGGTTGGCAGGGGGCGCAGGAGGGGGGTGTCCATGGCACGAGTGTGGGCATGTGTGTTAGTGCAGGTGGGAGTGTTAGTGCAGTCCACGTACACAGGATGTGTGTGCACACAGCTGGATGTCCATGCCCATGTGGGAGTGCCAGCTGTGGCAAGGGGTGAGTGCAGGGCATGCAGGAAGGGCATGTAGCAGGCACGCTGTGTGGGTGTGAGTGACTGGCTGTGATTGCACCCCGAGAGGTGCGGGCACAGGAGTGTGTGACTGCCCGGCAGGGGCACAGGGACAATCAGGCAGCGGCGCACTTGTACGAGCAGGAGCGGCTAGGGGTGGAGGCTGAGTGCACGGGTGAGCGCATGGGGAGGTGAGTCCGAGCAGTGGTGGGAGGGTGCGTGTCTGTCGTGCGTTTAGGAGAGATGCTTGCGTTGCGGAGGGGGTATGCATGGAGCCGGAGGGGGGGTGCTGTTTAAGGCAAGGCCTTGGGGGGTGGCTGAGTGAAAGTGCTGCACTCCTGCGTCTGGGAGGTGCGTGTACGTGTGACCCGGGGCATGTGCCCGCCGGCAGGGGGTAGATGTGCAAGTGCGCTAGGCTGAGTAGGGTTGCTACTTTCTGGGGGGGAGGGGAATTAGGGATAGTCGCTGTCCTTCGAGGACAATTTATGGCAAATCATTTAATGACCTAATTTGCATATAACCATAAACTTCTGTATAAAAAAAAAAAAAAAGCCAAACCCAAGCCTGTGTGTGGACTCAGTGCTGGTTAAAGCTGTGGGGATGGGCACTGCACCCGTTCTTGGTTAATAGTCAGTGCCACTTTAGATGCCCCTCCTCTGGCTCCAAAATGCCACTTTGCATTGGCAGCTTCTCCCTGCAGCTCCTTCTCCCAGGCTCTCCTGGGGCAGGCTGGTCGGTGGCCGGAGGACAATGGGTGAGTGCAAGGCCTGTCCCGGGGCACGGATGGGTACCAGGGCACTGGCTTTCCTGAGCAGAGGGCTGATGGGCAGGATGGTGTGAATCCAGCCGAGGGCGAGTCATTGGCCTGCCGGATCCTGCGTCTGCATACACCTGTTCCCTTGTACAATGCCCGGTGTTCCCACATAGCTCCTGCGCAGACCGAGAACTCCCTCAACTCTTTGTCCAGGTGGGACACCTCTTAGACTGGCTGGTGCCCACGTCGTGCCCTTAGCACGAGGCTCTCCCCGGCTGGCTGGCAGGCAACACATCTAGCACTGAATCCTGGAGCCAGACTGGCTGTGGGAGGTAAGGGGCAATTCAAGCCGTGGGTGACCGGACTGTTGCCCTGCTGTGCAGAGAAGCGTGGTTTGAGCCGCGCAGGGCGAGGACTTGCCCCTTCCGTGTTTGGTGCAACTCGGTCCCTGGCTCACTTGTGGCCAGCTGATAGACCCTGCCGTGACGGGGCCGCTCAGTTCCTGCCTGGTCCTTGTGGGGCAGGGCGGTAAGGATGGCTGCCAGAGCGGGTCCTGAGCTGCCCCATCGTGGAGCAGTGGGGGTGGGGGGGGTGCCCGCCAGGTGCCAGCTGGCACAGTGGTGTTATCCATTGTCTGATGGCTTCCTTGCCTTTCCTCTCTGGTGCCAGGTGTGTGTGGACCCCACTGCACGGACCAGCTGGGGTTGTGCCAGGTGACGGGATGTCCCCCTGTGATCCAGCCAGTGTCTGGCCAGACCTGCCGCCGTCTTAGCCATATTGGCCACTAGGGGGCTCGTTGCTCTTCTGCCACCCCCCCCCCCCCAGCACCTGGCGTGCTTTGCCCAGCTCCGCTGTGTGTTCACGCTCAGGCAGCACTTTGGTGTTCTGTGCTCCCTGCGCTCACTACCATCGCCTGGCCACTCTGCTCACCAGAAACGGAGCCAGCCCGTCCGTGCCAGGCAGCACTCCATGGCTCTGCCCAGAATCCTGGTACCAAGCGTGCTCAGGGCTGGGCTGGATGTTCCCATTTGGAGATGAGACCCGAGGGGCAGCTCCTCCTGGCGGAGTCATCACAGAACTGGGCCCTCTTCTCCACCCCGAGTCGCGTTCTCCAGGGCAGCCTCGGGCACCCTGCAGACCTGGGAAGGGGAATGCAGCTCCTTCCACGGCCAAGTGGGGGCACCACAGAGCCACCCAGCCCAGAGTTAAGATGCTGTTGAGCGAATAGACCCTGGGAACGTTTCCGGCGAGGATCCGTGCCCTGGGCGGGTTCCATTCATTTCTAAGTTAGAAGCAGCAAGGCTCTTTTCTTGGTTTCAGGCCGACCCTGCTGTGCGGTGCCCCCTCGCCACACGGTTCACCCCCCTCGGTGTAAATCAGGCTAGCGCCAGGGAGGTCAATGCAGGATTTGGCCGTGTGCTTTTGAGCAAAACCTTGTTCCCTCCACGTTGCAAACATGAGACCTGTACGCTCCCAGGGCTCCTGGAAGCAAAGTGTTCCCACGTGCCTGTGCCAACCAAGGAATGCTTTTCCCAGGTAAGAGGAAGGCAGCAGGATCCGATGGGGGCATGGGACTGCACGGGGGCGTATTACTCCGTGTCCTGCAGAGCTAATTAATGCACTGGGGCCTGGGCTTGAGTGGAAGTGGGCTTTGGTTTAACAGAAAATACCCCAGGGCAGTGGCTCTCAACCTTTCCAGATGACTGGACCCCTTTCATGAGTCGGATTTGTCTTGTGTACCCCCAAGTTACACCTCACTTTAAAACGACTTGCTTACAAAATCAGACCTAAAAATACAGAAGTGTCACAGCCGCACTATTACTGAAAAATAGCTGACTTCCTCATTTTTACCAGATAATTATAAAATAAATCAACTGGAATATAAATATTGTACTTACATTTCAGTGTATAGTATATAGAGCAGTATAAACAAGCCATTGTCTGTATGAAGTTTTAGTTTGTACTGACTTCACTAGTGCTTTTTATGTAGCCTGTTGTAAAACTAGGCAAATCTCTAGATGAGTTCAGGTACCCCCTGGAAAACCTGTGTCCCCTCAGGGGTACGCATACCCCTAGTTAAGAACCACTGCCTAAGGGTATGGAGCTCACACCTGATGCTCTCACCAGCCCCCTAGCAGCACGGGGGGTTGGAATTGCTGCCTTCTCGTGGTCCCTTCCAGCCCTCCTCTGCTTTGATTACCCAAGCCCATGGAAACGAGTCCCAGCTTTTATCAGTGGGAGCCTTTTACTGCCCGGCTCCACGGCGAAGAGCCTGTCTTCACAGCGAGCAGGTTTGGCTGAAGCCGTTGGCAGCATCTTCCTCCCTAGATTTCCGCAGCCTGTTTCCCCCAGTGCGACCGCCCTCGTGAGCAATTCCCACCTGAAGAGACGTTTGCTGTTCCTCCTGCTCTGTGCTGGGGCGGAGCGGAGAGCCAGGCCGGCATTCTCCTAGAAGAGCTGCTCCTGGCAGCAGTACTAGAAGCCAGACAGTTTTTGCCCTGCTCCTGCTCCCGCTATTCGTAGACTGTTTTATCGCCTCCGAGAAGTGTTAACAAACCAAGGAGAGGTGGTAAGGTCCAGAGACAGGGCCCCGGGCTGGGTGGGAGGTGTGAAGCCTGGGTTCTATCCCTTTACTCTGCCACTGACTCATTACGTGACCTTGAGAGAGTCCCCTTGTTGCTGGCTGCCTCGGTTTCCCCATCAGTAAAGCGGGGTTAACACTGC